TGCAAGCCACCACAGTACGACAAACGGAGAGATACGTGGTGAAAAAACCACACAGAACATATAAAAAAATCTGCATTGTTGTAAAACACATTGTCTTGGAAGAAGTACATCCAGAATGCTCCTTAGTATTGAGAATGGTGAGGCTTCATCTACCGTAACTGCACATGTTACATCAGGAGGGACCAGTACCTGGAGAAGGACATCATGCTCAGCAAAGTAGAAGGTCAATGAAGCGGAGGAATATCCTCAAGGCGCTTGATTGGCAGAGTGACTGCAACAATGGGCTCAAACATAACAACACTTATGAGGATGGTACAGGACAAGGCAGTGTTTAGTTCTGTTGTACATAGGGTCACTATGAGTTGTAACTGACTCAGTGGCTCCTAGTAATAACAATAAGACACACTAAACTTTCACATCTTTAAAAAGAGAACTTTTCCTTTGGAAAAATCGAATGGGGATAAAAATATTCTGATGAAGCAAAAATCTCCACAAAAAAAAAAGGCAAACATTTTTAAAAGAAAAACCACAAACTAAACAGATTAAAGAAAGCTCTATTATAAATAAAAAGGCAAACAACAGGGAAAAATAAATTGGTCTAAGTTTATTTTAAAAAGCCACTGACCCTATCAGTAGAAAATATAATGCAAGAAATCTGGGGGGAGAAATACAATCTCACTAGTAAAGATGTAAAAATCAAAATAAACAGACTTAACAGACTAGAAAGTGCTGTCCTTGGGTAAGTACCTAATCTTCATAATCTTTGACCCAGCAATCCTTAGCAGTTTCTACTAAGGCACTCATTGGTTCTCTGCTAGTAGTTACATTTTTCAATGTTTATCACATGTTTATGAAAGATAGGAAATAATCTAAATACTCAACATTAGAGGATTATTTAAACCAATTGTGGTGGCGCAGTGGGTTATATACACTGCCCTGCTAGTTGAACCGTCAGTGATTCAACCCACCAGCTGCTCCGTGGAAAAAATATGAGGTGGTCTGTTCATATAAATATTTAGCCTTGGGAATTCAAAGGAGCCATTCTTCTCTGTCCTATCGAGTTGATGGTAGTGGATTTGCATTTGGGAGGTTTTGTATTGCCTGTGGAACCCTGGTAGTGTAATGTGTTACACATTGGCCTGCTAAGTGCAAAGTCAGCAGTTTGAATCCACCAGCCGATTCATGGAAGACAGATGAGGTTTTGTGCTCTGGTAAAGATTTACAGCCTCACAAACCCAATAAGGAATTGCTATATGAGTTGGAACTGACGCAATGATGCATAGCAGCAGCAGTAGAAGTAGTGTCTGTATATGGTGCTGGTGGTGTGCCGTGGAGCCGGTTCCGACCCATAGCGACCCTGTATAGGGTTTCTAAGGCTGTAAGTAAATCTTTATGGGAGTAGAAAGCCTCATCTTTCTCCCGCAGAGCGGCTGGTAGTTTCGAACCGCTGAGCTTAGGGTTCGCAGCCCGATTCGTAACCACTACGCTACCAGAGCTCCTATCTGTATATGAGGGGGCTTCAAAATGCTCATGGAAAATGGAATTGAAAGATAATGGAATTCCCACGAACTTTGAAGCCTCCTTGTATAATATACATTATATATTTACTGCCGTGGAAGGATACTTTAAAGGAGAAATAAATGCAGATCATTGGTTGAACAAAAACCTAATTAAACGTGTTGCCCTCAAGTCAATTCAGACTCATAGAAACTTTACAGAACAGAGTTCAACTTCCTATAGCATTTCCAAAGCCATAAGTCTTTATGGATGCAAACTCACATCATTCTTCCACAGAGAAACCGGTGGATTCCAATCAGTTAACAGCTGAGCTCTTAGCTTCTGCGGGACCAGGGCTCTGTCATTTGTTTAACACTGCCACTGAGTCCATTTTGACTTATAGCAATCCTATGTAGTGTTTCCAAAGCAGTAAATCTTTTTGAGAGCAGAAAACCTCCTCTCTCCTGTGGTTGGTGGATTCAAACTGCTGACCTTGAGGTTAGCAACCCAAAGGGCAACCCACTATGCCACCAAGGCTACTTCTTCATTAACTTAGTGTGGTGTGGTGCAATTTATGGTTAATTTAAATTTTATTTTGTAAATGTTTGCCTATCCTAAGTGTTCTATTGTAATCATGCCTTATGTAATTAACTTTTAAAAGAAGAAAAAATAAGAAGGCCTTTAAAATTCTTTATAATATTTATAGTAGTCCAAAGTTCCCTCTCTGAGTCAGCTCTCCAGTTTGAAAAACTCTATGATGGTTTCCTTATCAGTTCCAGCTGTTATCACTTCCTGTCTATGAAATGTCCCATGGACTTTTAATCTATTTTACCCTAGTACATACTTGTAAAATGTGACCAAAATGCCACTCGAGAAAGATCCTCAAGGGCAGTATTTAACTAGTTTACAGTTTAGACTTAAGTATTTGCAGATGAGTTTTTCATCCTTATCGCTGACTTAGTGGCAGCCAATGAGACTAATGATTTTTTTTAAAAATTGTAATCTAATTAAATACTGTATAGGTAGCGTAGTGGTTACGAATCAATCGGGCTGCGAACCGCAAGGTCAGCAGTTCGAAACTACCAGCTGCTCCGCGGGAGAAAGATGAGGCTTTCTGCTCCCGTAAAGATATATAGCCTCGGAAACCCTGTTCAGGGTCGCTATGAGTCGGAACCGACTTGACGGCACTTAACAACAACAAACCTAAATTGCTATGTCGTGCAAATAAGACACATTTTCATGTTCTTTAACAGACGACAGTATAAGTCTCCAAAGATTTCATGTGCTCAGGTAATTTTCTATACAATGCATGGCCAGTCCTACTCTGAGACTTCATTTGGGTCTTTTTTTTTAACGGCTTGTGACATAGTTCATATATCACAGAAAGAAAAGTATCATTTGTTCTGTTATAGTGTATAATATATAAGTTAAAGGTAAATGTTGTAAAATAAGAAAAAAAAAAATTCAGTCTCCTACAATTATTTTCCTAAATGAATAATACCCCAAATAAAGTGATAATAACAAGCAAATTTTCAGGAAGCACAAGCAATATTACTAAATATAGCCTTCTGCAGTCCAAAAGTCATGAGTCACTTATTTTAGACACCGCTGGTAGCGTAGTGGTTACGAATCAGGATGCGAACCACAAGGTTAGCAGTTCGAAACTACCAGCTGTTCCGCGGGAGAAAGATGAGGCTTTCTGCTCCCGTAAAGATTTACATCCTCGGAAACCCTGTACAGGGTCTCTATGAGTCAGAACTGACTCCACGGGACACAACAACAACAACAAATGACATGTTTGGAGTCCTGGATCAGCACTGGACTGTAAACCGCAAGGTCGACAGTTCAGTTGGAACCAGCTCAAAGGCACTTAACAACAACAACAATGATATGTTTGGAGTCCTGGTGTGGTGTTGTAGGATAAGAACTGGGCCGAAAGGTTGGCTTGAACTGCAAGGTCAGTGGTTCAAACTCACCAGCTGCTCCTCAGAAACCCTATACAGGCTTGCTATGAATCAGAACCGACTTGACGGCACTTAACAATAACAACAATTTACTATGTGGCACTTGATAGGATTAAACATTTCTCTTCTTACATTCATTCCTTCTATAATAAGCGAATATGGTTTCAATGTAAGGTGTCCCTAATACAATTGGACATTCCTTCAAAGTTTATATTGGTGGTTCATTAGAAATTGTAAGTGCTTTTTTAGGCAAGGGGCATTTCTAAATGCTGGAGTGATGTGAATATGCCTAAAACAGAAATTAATTAAATGATCAAGAGATTTTTAGATACCACAAAGTAATTAAAACTACCATTACAGAGTCAAGAAGAAGTCTGGTACATCAGCTTAGATTTTTCAGATTGAGTTGATCAAGCGTCACAACAATTGGATACTAAACATCTTTTGGCCAAATAGCCAAACATATAAATAGTTCTCAAGCACATCTTTTTTAAAGTGACAGCTTTGTTCAACAACGTCACAGTGTGAAGTTATAGCTTTAGTTCCCATTTGAGTGTATGCTCTAGCAAATGGCTCTTTTCTCATATCTCCTTAATATACACTTATTTACCAGTATTCCTTCAAGGTACCATGTAAGCTGATTTCTGATCATTACTTCACAACTGAATCAGCACTTCCAGGGCAGAATTACAAAGTGGTTAAGGCGCTGATCTCAAAATCAGAGGGACCCTGTTTTGAATCCTGGTTCTGCCAATTATTAACTGTGTGACCTTGGACAAGTAAGGGAATTTACTTTCCTCTCTTAACAAAAGAATAATAAAATTAAACTACCTGATACATTTGTTATAATAATTAAGCAAGATAAGTATATGGTGTGTTTAGCATAGTCCCTGACACATGGTTGAAACATTAACTAGACACTTCATTGCTAAAGTTCCCTCGCTCAGTAAGATCAGCACTGGACTGTGACCCCCAAGATTGGCAGTTCAAACCCACCAACACTTAATAACAACAACAAACCACTGCCATTGAGTCTATTCTAACTCACACTGTTGTTGCTGTTAAGTGCCGTCCAATCATTTCCAACCCATAGGGACCCTATATAAGGTTTCCGAGGAGCATCTGGTGAGCTTGAACTGCCGACCTTGCAGTTCATACCAGAAGTTTGTAGTCCAGCACCACACCAGTACTCCACCACTAACTCATAGTGACTCTCTATTGGGTTTCCAAGACCGTATATCTTTACAGGAGCAGACAGCCTCATTTTACTCTTGCAGAGAGGCTGGTGAGTTTGAACTGCTGACTTTGTGGTTAGCCTAGAGGCAAAACAGACAGTCATTGGATGACCTTCTAATTCAAGAATTAATGAACACTCATTTCCTCTATCTGAGATTCACGTGTTGAGAATAAAAGTTCTATGTTTATTATACGGGTCCAGTTAAAAGATAAGGGAAAAATTTAAGAATTTAGTAACTATTTACTAATATGCAAAACAAATAAGCAAACAAGAAAAAAAAAAAAGAAAAAAAAGTCTCCTACCATGGTCAGTGCACTGATTTCTGACATCTTCTATGCTTTCTGCTTTGATGGCTTCTTCAATAAAAATGTAGCAACTGTCCTGAAACTGAACCCAGGTGGATGAAGGACAATCTATACAGAAAAAGAGAAACACTGTTAAATAACTTGAGAATAACAATTTCATGAATTCCCAAAGATACAGATAGATACTGGATATTAAATTTTCTCAAAAAAAAGGAGGGGGCAATATCCCTTTAGAGATAAGGCTGTCAATCTTTGTTCAAATAAAGAATCAATCTGTGTAATAGGAATTTGGTTTTTTCCATAATACATGTTGGGAAAAGGAGCCCTAGTAGTGTCGTGGGTTGCCTATTGGGTTGCTAACTGAAAGATCAGCAGTTCGAGACCAGGAGGCACTCCAGTGAGAGAAACATGAGGCTTTCAGCCCCCATAAAGATTTACAGCCTCAGAAACCCTATACAGGTCACTATGAGTTGGAATCAACTCGATGGCACACCACCACCACCACCATGTTGTTAAAAAGAAATATGCCAACAATATTTTTTTTATTGGACAGAACAAAGCCACAATTATTTAGGTTGTTTAGGAATTCAAACACGTAAATGATAATGTTATTGCCAGGGCAACAACTATTCAGGAAGAAAAGACAATCAGAATTACAGACTTGTCTTTAAAAGTTATCTTCATAGGCCATAAGTATAATTGTTCAAATGATGCTGTTGGACAGATTTTTTTTAAAAAAACAATAACAAGGATAACAAGTTGTTATATTCTGAATATTCACACGAATGTTCTAGATTTAACACTTCATCAAGGTGGATTCTTTGACCTAGTTTTACGAAACAGAACCACATCTCTTCTTCTATTGTCGCAAGGTAGAGGGGTATCTCTTTCATCTCATTCTTGGTCTCTTTCCATGTTACATGAAGACATGCATTTTTAAGCTCAAGCACTAGAATTTCATTAGTTAGCATTATAAGCAAAAACATGCCAATAAGGAACTGGAAAGATTAGGGAGCAGTGAATTTGTTAATGCTGGATGAGCAACCCAGAAAATGGTTGCACAACTTGAAGAATGCAATGAATGTAAATAAATGGTACATGCAAAAACTGTTAAATTGTATACTTTGCTGTGCATATTTTCAACAACAACAAAATAAAACTTTTAAAGTACATATGTCTGTCAAATGTAGAAAGGAGGATAGTACTGTACTTAATTCCAGTGAATAAAAGAACACAACCATCTACTCTTTTAGGCTTGCTGCCGCTGCTGTGTGCCACCATGTTGGTTCCGACTCATAGCAACCCTACAGAGAGTTTCTGAGGCTGCAAATAATCTTTACAGGAGCAGAAAGCCTCATCTTTCTCCCACCGAGTAGCTGGAAAAATCAAACAACTGATCTTGCAGTTAACACCCCAACTCGTACCCACAAGGCTACCAGGTCTCCTAGAAGAAAAGCAAATCCACTGCCATCGAGTTTACTCCGACTTATATCTGCTCATACAATTTTCTAAAACGACGGTCTCATCTTTCTCCCACCAAGGGGCTGGTGAGTTTAAATCACCGACCTTTTGGTTATTAGCCCAAGCAATACCTAATCCACAGTGCCATCAGGGCTCCTTTTAAGCTTCTTGTTGTTGCTAAGTGCCATCGAGTCTGTTCCAACTCATAATGACCCTGTCTAGGATTTCCGCTCCGCGGGAGAAAGATGAGGCTTTCTACTCCCGTAAAGATTTACACCCTCGGAAACCCTGTACAGGGTCGCTATGGGTCGGAATCGACTCGATGGCACTTAACAACAACAACAAGGATTTCCGAGGAGCAGCTGGTGAGTTTGAACTGCCGACCTTGTGACTCACACCAACCTTATATAGATTAACAACAACAACAAAACTTCAGAAGAAAAAGTTTTCTTGATAAAAAAACCAAAAACCACTCTATGATGGTTATGAAGTCCTGGTGTGGCGCTATGGGTTAATGTGCTGGACTATAAAGTCGGTTTCAACCTCAAGGTCAGCAGTTCAAGCTCACCAGTGGCTCCTTGGAAACCTTATATAAAGTCACTATGGTTTGGAACCGACTCAACAGCACTTCACAACAACATGTTGGTAATGAGGGTAATTATTCACAGGTTAGAGGGTGGACAAGTTCACATGGGTGATGTGATGGGGCAGGCAATATACAATGAGAAAGAGGTTGGCAGAGGAGAGGTAGCAGGAGACGGGGGGAATTAAGAGTTAAAGTGAACTGAGGTAAATACTATTAACTGATGGTACATGGAAGGGACTTCAATCATTGTAATGAAGGAAAGTATATAATTTGTTGAATATAAAACTGATAATCTGCTCTGTAAACCTTCACTCAATTTACAACAACAACAAAAAAAGAATTTGAGCATCAAAAAAACCCACAAAAACTTAAGTGGTTTTTAGATAAATTATCATGAATTCATGTTCTAGAACATGTCTAAAGAAATTATGTTTTGTTATTTTCAAGTTACTTATGTATTACAATTTTACTGAAAACAGAAGCCCTGTTACAAAGATTAGAATTTAACTATCAGGTTGTTGTTGTTTTTTGCTGTGGAGTCAGTTCCGACCCATAGTGACGCTGTATAGGGTTTCCGAGGAGCAGCTGGTGAGCTTGAACTGCCGACCTTGCAGTTCAAACGGCATTGCAGTCTGGTGCGTTAACCCACAGCGCCACACCAGGTCTCCAACAATTAGGTAGGTTAGTCTAAATGAATTTTAACCTCCTGGGTTTACGAAACTCAGAACATGGCACAGACCATTGGTTGTCTTCAGTACCTGATCTCACCTTCTTATACAACACAGAGCACATGGCCACCAAGCTACACTTGGTTACCAGCTTCTGGAAACTTCTGGATAATGAGATATGAACAGAAATGAAATGTGAGATATACAGGAAAGCATGTGCTCCCCTGTTTCAAAATTCTCCTTTCCCACTGGCTAAAATGGTTATTATTCATTAACAATCATGTCACGTGGCCAAACAAAAACTCTAGGAATGGGTGCTACAAGAGGATCCTAGGTAAAGCTATCTATGAGCTCTGGAATACTCACACTCAAGAGAATATGTTTTAAGGGAGAAAAATTTATCTCTTAACTCATTAATTTAGATCAATGTACAGCAGCTAGACAAATAACCCAATTGATATAATTTGTTTTTCTTAAGTGCCGTCAAGTAGGTTCTGATTCATAGCAACCCTATATTAGGGTTTCTGAGAAGCAGTTAATGAGTTTGAAACAAAGACTGAGGTTCAAACCAACATTGTGGTCCAGTGCTTTAGCCCACAGCGCCACACCAGGACGCCAATCGATACAATGGTGGTGGTGGTGTGTCATGGAGTTGGTTCTGACTCATAGCAATCCTGTATAGGGTTTCTGTGGAGCAGCTGGTGAGCTTGAACCAGCAACCTTATGGTTCAAACTGACCTTTCAGTCCAGTGCATTAACCCATAGCACCACACCAGGACTCCAGAACTCCAATAGGCTACTTAAAATTATGCGAGTTTATGAGATACGAGCTTTTCCTGGCCTCCTGCCACCAAAGTTAACAGTTAAATCACCAAAGATAAGCTCAGTTGAGAAAAGGTGTCCCGGAATACAGTGCATTTTGTATTCAGTTGTTTGCTTGCTTTTTTTCCCCTGCTATTTTATAAGCACCTGCATTATATATGTGACAACCTTGTTTTTAACACTGGCAGGAATCTCAAAATCCGCCACTATAGTGGTTTCAAGGTTACTGAATGAATCAAAAGGATTTGACACTTCGGGAAAATGCTCGTAATGAGACATGAAGTAAAAGAATCTGGTTATAAAATTTTACACACAGTATGATGCTAAGATTTAAACAGTAAAGAAGTCTAAAAGGATTCAGGAATTGGAGCTACCAGACAACTCTGTAGAAGGATCCTGAGGTCCTGAAAACAAAGTGCTTGATTTAAAGTCTATCTTGAGCAGTTAGACCCTTAGATCCTCTTCCTGAAAATGTGTACCCAGTCATTGTACATCTCTGCCTTCTTTGGAAAACTGGCTGTAACAATGGCATGACTTCACCGGGGGAGGGAGACTCAAACACAGGCCCAAGGCCGATTCCTATGAGGTGGAGGAAGTGAGAC